CGTGGGCCGGAGGCGGTGGGATGCGCACTAGCGACGGGTCAGCCGTGGGTGACGTTCCTTGCGTGGGTTCGGGGCGGCTGTGAAGGTGCCAAGATGTGGAGGGCGGGCAGTGGTGGTTGACGCAGGTCGACGGCGGCGGGTCGAAGTTCTTCTGGCCTGCGGAGCTGTTGGAGCGGATGATTTTGGTGATGGAGCCGCTCTTCTCCATGTGCTCCACCGGACTGTGGTACGGCGGCGCCGGCTCCGGCTCCTTAGAGGCGAAGTATGCATCTGTCTCAGACTGCGGGATGCCCATGCGCTGGATGTAGATGTTGACTAGGAAATCCAGCTTCCTCTCCATTGACATCACCTAAAAAAAGAGGATTATAAAACGGATAGTTCCGGTGCTTGATTCTGATTGGTTGAGCCGCGTTCGAAGCTGTTGTAAATGACTCTACAAAGTAACATACACCTTTGTTTACGTTTGTGTGTTGCTTGGCAACCACTTTGTTGCAACCACAACTGTTTCTGAGGAGCTACATTGTTTGGTGGAAGAATACTGTTTTTATTTAAATCATTAGAGTTTATTTGCTCTGTTTTATTTTGTGAAACCTTGCTACATATATGGAATAACCGTTTTATAATAGCAATAAGCCCCTTAGCTGTTATAAATTCACTGTAAACCATGGCTTCTTGGGGCTTACTGCTTTAAGATCTCATTATCTTATGCGTAGAAACACTTGGTTATGGGTGAATCACATTAGAGTTCAGGTGAAACAAAATTAACAAAAATTAGTCTTTGAACTAATGTACTACTCATGGATGAATAAAACTTTTAGCAGCATTTTTTTGGGGATAAAAATATGGCTGACTCAACTGACAATTGATTGAATCAGGAGAATATGCAAATTTTGTCCAATGAAATCCTCGCTAGAATCATTATTATTATTATTTTTTCATATGTAGTTCTTAAGAATTAACATTTTAGTTATGATTTTAAAAATGAATTCAATACATAAATATATAGCAAACATATCAATATATAACAAACATTTTAATTATGATGAAAAATGAATTCAATATATAACAAACATTTTAGTTATGATTAAAATGAAAAAAAAAAAAAATTTAAATAAAAAATTATTTCAATTTATAAAATAAACATTTTAAACATGATAAAAACATTATTCAACATATAACAAGCATTTTACTGTATCTAAAAAAATTATTAAATACATAGACATTTTAGTTATGTATAATTCTCATTACCAATATGTTTTTTGATGAAGAAAAAATGTCATTTTTTTTATTCTGAAATGAACAGTTTATTTATTTTAAGAATGTATTTATTAAGAAACAAGAATAAACATATATCGTTATTCTTATATAATCATATATAATAATTATCATATAATCATCTTTATTATCATATATAATAAACTTATATTGGAAACTACCACTTAATATGTAATCCTCTCTAATAATAATCTGTTAAATAAATAAATACATATGCACATAAACAAACAAATAAATAAATAAATAAAAAGTTATAGTAGATGAGCTTTCTGCAAGCAATAATCAGTAAATATAGAGGTTTACTGAAAACAGGGCTGACCATAATTAATGAACAGACAGACAGGCATCAGTGGACGTGATTTACTTCATCTCTTAACGATGTGACTGACCTGTTTCTCCACTTTCCCAAGCCGTCCCATCATGCTGGGGTCTTCTGGCAGCTCTGCATCCGTGGCTCCTTTCGGACGATCCTTGTCTGTTACTGAAGGACCTCGACCAACAATCTGATCCACTCTAACAATCAATTACAGACATGAAACATCTAGAATAAAAACTTCATAACTCATCAGAGTCAAACTATAATTAATATATATTTATAAATATATAAATAATAATAAATATCAATTATTATAGGACATATAATACATACAAAATTGTTAATCACATTATTTATCCGAACTATTATAATAATAACAACATTCATATCAAAGATGTACAAATTCTTAACTTTAAGAAATAATAAAGCATTTATTCTATCTTAAAGCACAAAGCAGTGTAAATCAACGAATGCATGCAGAGGGAGGGATATGATAATGAGGGGGCGTGTCCACACGCAGACAGACAGAGATGATTGGACAGAAAGAGTCAGGCCCTCCAGACGGACGTTTTCTGTTGATATTTGCCACTTTTGAACAATGTGTCGAAGTGAAATCACATCTTTAGTTGCATATTACAGCATTAGCCGCACATTTGACACATTATCCAAAGCTGATGGACTACACTAGAAGGGGTGCGTCTGATCCGAGACACGCCGTCTAAATACGGCATCGGATGTGTTGTTTGGCTGCTTTAAAAAAAGAAGATCGGTGGGAATCAAGCATGAAGAAAACAGAAGAAAAAATACTGTGCATCATGTGGCATGCCTGAAAAAATGCATGCATACGCAAAAACAGCGATGCTAAATTAAAAAAATGCATCTCCATTTGCTGCCGCAACTCTTCATTTCCACACAGCGCGGTGCAGGCAAACTAGCTTAACCAGTTTTAGTTCAGATACATGACTAGTAACTCACCGAAATGTGATATTTGGTTCCCCTCGACTAAACGTCTCTACAAAACACTTCGGTCACAGCAAAGCAAGGTCATGAAGTGAATTAGAAAGAAGCCGCCCGGAGCGTTCAGGCTCGATGCAATAATAGACTAGTTTGTTTAGGTAGCTCAGTTTCTACTAGCCATGTAGTCTGAAGCAGAAGCAGGTTTCTTGGTTGGTCTCTGGAGCGAGAGAGATCTAACGCAGGCCCGGGATCCTAACCTAGAAGACAACTGGGGCGACTCTGTGGTTCCTTTGGTTGAACACTTCTTTTGGCGAGGGGTGCCGGGACCCGGAGGACCCAATATCATATCTAACCTGGCAAAGCAAATAGAGTAGAGGACAGCAGAATGCAGAGTGACGTGACACGAGCGGCGCAAACCCAAACCAACAACAACAACAACAACAACAAACCCTCCAAATATATTCCAGACATACTTCATGGAGTTCATTACCGTAAAAAGCTCTCGCACTTGCTGTCAGCGATCATCGTGTGATGAAAGTATGCCAGTAATGTGTGCTTATTTATAAGCAGGAATATATTCACATGTCAAATCATAACCACATTTATTTATTCATACATACAGGAGGACTGGCCTAAAATAAGACGGATGTGACTGTGTTGGATTACTTTAAAGAGGTCATATGATGCGATTTCAATTTTTCCTTTCTCTTTGGAGTGTTACAAGCTCTTGGTGCATAAAGAAGATCTGTAAAGTTGCAAAGACTAAAGTCTCAAACCCAAAGAGATATTCTTTATAAAAGTTAAGAGTCAACCACGCCTACCTAAAACGGCTCGTTCTAACACACCCCACATGTCTACGTCACGATGTGAGAAGATTTGCATAACGCCGCCCAATTAATAGGTAGGCAGCAGTTTACTGAGAAGTGTTGTTTTTTAAGGTGTAATGGGTCAATGATGATGATTTCGGTTTCATGGCTTTAAAAATCTATTTTCAATCAAACATTCATTTAATGACAAGTTCAATCAAAATGTATATGAATAAACAATAAAATATAAACTATATAAATTATAAATATAAACAATGATAATGTTGATTTTATATGGCATCGAGAAACTTTATTAGGGTCCGGCGAAGTTACAATAAAAAGTTGACAATAAAAAAATTAAATAAATAATTAAATATATCATAAAATAAAATAAAAAAATATTTAAATATCTGATCTTATCAAACAGAATAAAATATTTTTATTTAATCTTTTTTTTGCTGTTTTAATGTCAAATTTAAATATGATAGATTTTATCATATGATATTTTATTATTTATAATTCTATATATATTTTAAAAACGTTCATTTTTAAATATTTTATCTAAAAAATTATAATAAAATTTTTCATTACATCTTTAGAGTACAAACCTTTATAAACATATTTTTACATAAATATTTTTACAAATACGAATTTCTGAATCATGAATATCATGTTTTCTCTGATTTTATTTGAATAAAATATAAAATATTTTCCTTAGTTGTGCAAATCTTAAATATATTTCACATTTATGTTTCAAATTTATATTAAGTAAATTTTTTGTTTGTTTGTTTTACAAACACCACACACCATTTCAGCACGTCTGAATCATTTTCTTTGGGTTTTATGATTTACTTGCCATTTTTTTTAGTATTTGTAAAATTTACCAGCACACAACTGTCTAGTGTGTATGAGTCAAGCGTCACTGTCATGTCCGACGGTGTGAAGAGAGAAAGAGAAGCAGCTGTATCTCTTGCCTGGACTGCAGATTTTTAATGCGCGCCAACATGTCCAGATGTCCGGCCGAATACTGCTCGATCACGTCCATCACGTCATACGGCCGCAGACTCTCTTTAAACTTTCGCTTGGACACCATGAACCTCATGATGCTGCAGGAAGAAACAATCACACACATTATCACGCTTAACACTTTACATAAAAACAAAGGCTGAGAAGCTGTCGAGAACATGGCCAGGTCATATTTCACCCCAACAATATAAAGAAAGAAACAAGAAAATATGTTTTGATTACTTACTTCTAAACTAAAACCATGACAAATATGACTTGAAAATAAATAAATAAAACAGAAATAAAATAAAAAATATATAAAACAAATCATTTTCAAACTCATTTTATTTTGGCTAGTTTGTTATTTGAAATAAAACCAAATAATTAAGTTTTTTTCTTGAATCTAGTTGCCAAGGCAACGTTTCTCATTTTCATTTAGTTTATGTACTAAAATAAAAAAAAAATAAAAAAACTGAAATGAAAATGAATAAAAACTATATGGTTATATTAAACCATATTTAAATCAAACCAAAACTAATAAAAATGACAAAAGCACACAACAAAATGACTAAAACTTTGACTAAAATTTAAAAGAAAACAGAAATTATTAAAACTAATTCAAAGTATTAATAAAAACTATAACAGTATCACAATGATACTAAAATAACAGATTTCTTGGACCAAGTGTTATTTTAGTATAACTGAGATACACTATTACAGTTTTCACTAATATTTTGAATTAGTTTTATTTTTATATTTAAAGTTTTAGTCATTTTATTGTAGTCGGTTTGTTTAAATTTCTTTTTAAGTCTATATAGTTTTTATCCGTTTTTATTTCAGTTTTAGTTTTAGATATTTTAGCGCATCGAGCTAAATTAAATAAAAATGAGAAATAAATTAAAAAATAAAATAAATGAAAATAAAATGTTAAAATAATATTATTTTTATTATTTGATTTTATTTAAATAAAGAAAATGTTATTTTATGGTTAACTACAATAACCCTGGACCATAAGGATTTTTACTTTTCATTACTTGCAGTAGAATATGAATATATGCTTTTGTGAGATTAACTCAATAACTGAGTCCCAGACACTGATATATATATATTTTCAGGCTTGATACTGACCAAAATAACTCATGCATAAGAGTCGCTGGCGTGATCTGAGCAATGAAAGTGTGAATGTAACAAAGGATTCAAAAGACTGAATGTAACATGTTTTGTAACTTACATTCAGGAAAGACTGAGTTTATGAGGTAATATTATGTGATGCAGACTGCTGTAGTTTTATCAATAATATTACACGTCTGATGGATGCTGCCTGTCTCATCTTTGCTTACCACACGGCCCTGATGGTAACTTTTAGTCCCGGCGTTAAATCCTGAGGGACAAACTCACAATGGCAGCTCTTATTGTCATCAACAATGTCTTCTCCGGGAAGGCTGGCTTCTAAAAAACACAACACGGAGAGCAGGACTCTGGAGTTAGTGCACAAACCCCCTAAACCCTCCAAAAACCTAAACTTAGCAGAGCCGCAGCCGTTAACTCGGTTAACTAGCTCAGTCCCACCCCAGACCGGTCAGTGCAATGCCATCTTTATACAGGTACGAGACGGGCATCATGGGAGAAATCCAAGACAACTGTGGCCCAAAAAACAATAAAGCCATACAGTGACCCAAAAACACATTCAGACACTTAAACAGTTAAACTGAAAGAACATCACTGCATCACATAATACTATATCAAATCAAGTGCTATTTACATTAAAGATGTTAAATAAGGACACTGAAAAATTGCTAGCAAATTTCACTAATGCTAGTTGGTTTAAAATGACTGATAGATAGATAAATAAAGCAGCGGTTCTTTGCTGGTTTTATGTTGAACACCCAACACAATGCCAAATCTGTAACCAGCATTTAATGCAATACAGGTCATATTTTCTTTAACATAACAGACCTGCAAACCATTTTTGGGTCACGTCTCACACCGGTTGAGAACCACTTATTTAGAGTCATTATCACTGAAAGGTAATAATGTGGTAAATAATGTTCAGTTTCTTGCACAGACCGTTTGTTTCACTTCATAAGGCCTTAGTATATATCGTCAGGAGCCACGGCTATTCATTTTGTGTTCCTTGATATGTTTTTCTTTAATTCTCAAAACTGGTAGCCGCTTGCATTTTATGAATCACCAAGGAGAACAGTTTACTGTTCTGCTGAAGAAAAAAGTCACCTACATCTTGGACGGCCTGAGGGTGAGTAAATTAACAGCAAATGTTTATTTTTTGGGTAAACTATCTTTTTAAATAACACTAACCTGCCCAGTTTCTTATATTCATGCAAAACGCTGATTGCATCTGTCATTTTGGGTCACAGTGTCTTTCTCCTGTGTTCCCATAAGCTAGCACAGACCATCTGGCACAGGACAGGTGCGTACAAATAAATCTACCTGTGCTTATTATGCCAAATAAACCACAGAGCCTTAAAACAACTGTCTGGCTCCAAACCCTCGAGTGAATAATGACGTCTGAAACCAGTTTAATGAGGTTGACTAGTTGTTTCAGAGCTCTGTGGTCTTCATTGCATTGATGTTTCCTCCTCAGGACTAACTAGTTTTCCTCACATGCAGGTAAAAGAGTGCTAGTTTGCAGCCGTCAACTAGCACTAGTTCTAGGGTTGGTAAAAACGAGTTCCTGTGTGATAATCTCTTACTGATTAACCCTTCAATTGCTGTGATACATTCAGAATGTTCTGAAACTAGTAAATTCTCTGAAGGTGAACCAGATTTAGTTCTAAAGCCAGATTTCGTTGTGCAGTTATCCAAAGCTTCAGTGCTTCAAATAAATGATTCACCTTCAGAGAAATGACACTCACTCTTTCTTGCATGATGTGAAATGTTCAGATACAAATACTCAAAGGGTGTCAGTTTTTAAATACAATGAAATGACATTCAAGTGAAGGTGCAAATTGAATTCTGCATACTAACAAGACATCAGCTGGACATTCGTGCAATCACAAGGATAACTCTTACTATGATTGCCTTTATATATGCTAACCATCTGACATCTTGATAGCAATTTATAGATGATGCAAGATATTTCATGAACTTAACAGCATCATTACTGAAACAGAAGTAAAGCATGACTAGTTGAAATTGCTAGACGTTAAGGGGGAACAATCATTAATATGCTGTTACTATTAAAGAAACTCATCACTCATAAAAGAACACGGATGAAAACAATCTTTAAAAATACACTACATGAAATATAGAAGGTTTAGTTGCATCATAAAATATCTCTTGCAGATCAGGGTAAAAAACATAAGTGCAATATGAAATGTAGTGTTTCTGCAATGTACCATGACTTTGATTGGATTTTAATGTAATTTGGCTTCAGTTTTGTTGTTTTAAATCTGTTACTATATATATATATATATATTCCAGAACTGAACCAAAATACAATGTGGTGATTAATTCATCTACTTAATTAAGTAGAATCTACTTAATTACCAACAGATAATTTGAAGCCATTATTGTGTTAAATGCGAAGATATCAAGTTGATATTACAAAACTTAGCTTTAGAAATAAATGTTTTATTTGATACAATATAAAATTTATTACACATATATTCATGTTTTAGGACAATGATTATATTTCACAGTCTATGGGACTTTAGTAACAGGACTGATAACTACACATTGACCAATTAGCAGCACCTTGTAAACAAAATGTAACTAACTAAAAAAGATTTTGTTTGAGCATAATACATTTTGACATTGCAATAAAAAAACAAAGCATTTGAAAGCAATAAATAAAAAAAAGTTTTCAAAGGTATCTTAAACATGCAAGCATTTTAACAGAAAAACAGAAAATCAGATTTTTTTTAACTAAAACTTTTCATTGTTCAAAAAAAAGCACAATGGAAAATCCAGCATTTAAAGCAGGTAAGACTTTACAGACTGGCATATGCTCAGACCGCTGTGATGTGCTCAGTATAGAAGTGGCAATGAACTGGATCCAAACTAATCAAATTTTAATCAATTTCTTGAGTTGTGGAGTTATGAAGCTTCCAAGTTGTAGTACCCTCTAGGTGTAATTTCATGAAATTTGGTGCATCTCCTCAGATTGTCCTGGTGTCCTTGTGCACCAAAATTTGTTAAGTTTGCACATTGCATTCACAAGATACAGGATTATTAGTCAATATGGACTACACCTGAAAATTTTATTGACTTGTGTCTGCTGAACAATCAGATTATTTAAAATGATATAACTTTTTTGTAAGAAAATTTAATGTCAATCAGAACAAATACCTAGATTGAGTTTGAAAAAGTGTGTTTTTCAGGAAATTCAAAATAGTGGAAGTTTTTCCAATAGAAAATGCAATGTGACCCCGTATGGCTTCTGAGTTATAAACATTTGCTTACAGCATCACCTAGTGGCTGAGATACACTTAATTTGGTACACTGCCTCTTTAAGACACATATGTCTAAATTTCAATATGATCAGATGATCACATTTGAGATAACTGGCTGACGAACTTTGGTTGACTCCTGGTGGCCATTTAATGAGAGCTGAATCCTTAAATAGAGATATATTTGACCCTCACAACTAATGAAAAGACTTCCAACAACAATATTATTCATGATCTGGATACTTTAAAACAGCACCACAAGTTCTCATTTGAGTCTCTCTTTCAATTCATCCCAGCAGTCCTGAGAGATATGCAGTCATTTAAGAATGGAAAATCTTACATACTGTAGCTTTAAATGGGTGAAATAAATAAATTAGTATGCTTTATCAAAAGAGTTTTAGTCAACAGACTCTTGAGCTTTACTTTGAATGAAACCTAATTAAATCATATAAGGAATAAACTGGACTAGTGAAATCACAGGTTAATATTCAGAACAACAGCATGATTGTGTGTGATATTGCTCAATTAATAAAAAAAAAATCAATAAAATTAATTTTTTTATAACGCATGTAAGATAAGTAATATGTTAATCATAGCCCAAACCAAACTCAAAGCATATCTGCAGACTGGTAGTTGTGCTGTGACTGAAGCTGGTTAGTTTGATTGAATATGGTGCTTTGGTTTTAAGAGGTAGAATGGGAGCCCAACCCATCTGGATTGCCTGACCTGGAGAGTTCCTGTGTCTCAAATCTTCCTCTTGCATCTCAATGAGCACTTTAGCATCAGCATCCAACATAGAAACGGAAAGGACAGCATCAGGATCCACATTCATCAGAAAAAACGAGGGAAAAATCATAAACACGCACATGGATTACAAAAGGTCGACCCTTCCACAATCTGCCATCCACATGATTCTGTCAGAGAGTTTTATTAGGTTTCACAGCTGACTGGCTTTATATTTAGCCATCTGAAACTGTACATTATTAAATAAAATGTCAAGTTTCTGAAAATCACAAATAATCAGTGAATTTGCACTTCGTGGAAAGTGTAACCAAAGCACAAACATTTTCATAAATTATATTTCAATATTCCAACACGCAGTCTTACGATTCAGGCCAAATGTTATGATTGGTATGTAAAATAATATATATTTATGCCATAATATATGTCATGAAATCATATACTGTATTCATACCAATCATAAAACTAGCTATCTTAAATAGCTTAAATAAATTATTGCACATTTTAGCTAATAAAATATTTAGCTCCTAATCTTCAACTCAAGAACTGTTTCAGAGTTTCTCCACAAATACACTGGCAGCAAAAGCAACATGTGACTCGGTTATACTAAGATAAAATTGATATGCACAAAAATAATGCAGACAGAAAGAATTAAACTGATCACGATACAACACTGCAAAAATCACATGCAATGGCACAACAGAAAGACAGAATAAGAATCCTGATGTGTGGTACTTGATTCTGAATCTGGATTGTATGAAATTAATCTGATCTAATCTGTTTCTGACTTCACGTCTTTTCAACTGCAGATAAAGCTAAAAATCTCAATGCAACTTATTCAAGTGAAGATGGACATGTCTGACCAGTTTAAAACAATCTCATACATAAGACTAGTATAATTCCTCATCCAGACACTAGTTTTTCATTGTCTGACGTCGTATCTACTGCAACTTATACAAATATACAAACTGTAACATTGATCTTGCGCTTCATGATTGTCACTTGTCGCGGTTGAATCTACAACTTTTAAGTGTGATGAGTAACATTCTGTAACGTTCTGTAACAACTGTAACAAATGTAACATTATACAACTACCATTCTGTAACATTCAGTGTATGTAATATTCTGTAACAATTGTAACAAATGTAACATTCTACAACTACTATTCTGTAACATTTTGTGTATGTAATATTCTGTGACATTCTGTAACAATTGTAACAAATGTAACATTCTACAACTATTATTCTGTAACATTTTGTGTATGTAATATTCGGTAACACTTTATTTTAAGGTGTCCTTGTTACACATGTTACATGTAGTTACTATTATAATAACAATTAATTATGCATAATTACATGCAAGTAACCCTAAGCCAAACCCTAATCCTAACCCTAACCATATAGTAAGTACATGTAGTTAATTAATATTACTCAGTACTTATAACCTATTAACCTATTAACCTAATATTCTGTAACATTCTGTAACAATTGTAACAAATGTAACATTCTACAACTACCATTCTGTAACATTCTGTGTATGTAACATTCTACACCAGTAACATTCTGTAACAATTGTAACAAATTTAAGATTCTACAACTAATATTCTGTAACATTCTGTGTATGTAACATCCTGTCACATTTTGTAACAATTGTAACATTCTACAACTACAAAACCACGACCAAAGCAGACAGATACGACCAAAGAGGCAACACTGGATAAGCACACAGGAACGGGTTGCTTTCCCTCACCTTCTGAGTTCTGGCGGGACGCAGCGCCTTTGAAGCGGAAGGCCTGTCTGGCCCGACTGCGGTCGCTGAAGCTGAGGCTCTTGGGTACTTTGGAAGGACTGTCCTCGATGCTGTTGTCAGCACTGGGAGAGCGTCGCCGGGGCTGCTGGCCCTGAGGAGAGTTCTTCCCTTTGTTCGCAGAGTTTCTCGGGCTGGAGAACACACGCTCTTTCAGGCTCACTTTCTGACTGTGAAGGGTGGAAGGGTGTAGAAGTTAGAGACTGAGGGTTTGCAGATGCTTTAGTTATGATGTTAGGAAAAAGTAATTGTGTCAAACACTCAAAAACTACTGAAAATGATCTGAAAAGTTATAAAACTTCACTAGATAAGTTGACATTCACCCAAGAGTTTTACCTGATTTGGTAAAATGCATAATAGGATTGCATGTTACCATTTTACATATTCTGATTGGTTGAGACATTTCAAGGATGCGGATTAATTTATTATGATTGCAGGGCTATGAAAGTAATTCCATGTTTATTTCATAAAATCCTGAATATATCTGAAAAATGAAATAAAACATGCATAAATGACTAATTTTGCATTGCATCACCAATTTGAGTGTGCATTAAATTTCCATTAATTCAAGAGCCTGTCATTAATTTTGCTTCCACACTCAATTTACACTCAATACAATATTTAAGCCTAAACTTGAATGCATTTGAATTGCATATAAAATTTTCATGCATTTGGATTACACAGTTTTAACATAAACTAATAAACTTAACGTGATGCATATTTGTCTGTCAAACATCAATGAAACAGGTCTGATTTCTGTACTAAAAAAACATGGCATAGTTTATTATTAACTCCTTGCATCTACTTGATTTAATTTAAATAAACATATTTTCAAAATGCATTTATTCAAATAGCTTAGAATAAACATAAATCTCTTAATTTTGAAAATAATTACATTTATTCAGCTAAAAAGTATGAACATTGTTAAAATATGCCTAGCTGTTGAACAAGCAATATTCAATTAGTAAAAATGTATGAGATTGAAACAAAGTGGATTTATTGATGATAAATATATAAATGTGTTTTTTACTACTGTTTATTAGTTTATTACTACTGTAACAGAAATCCGATTTCATTTATGTATGCCTGACAAATATGCATCACATTAAATTTATTAGTTTTTTTTATGTTAAAACTGTGTAATCCAAATGCATGGACATTTTATATGCAATTCAAATACACAAATCTTCAATTTAGGCCTAAATTTTTATTGAGTGATAATTTAATGGAAAGTTGTAATGTTTACTGTGCATCTTTATGTATTTGCAGTTGTATTCAGTTCATTCCCCAAAATTATGACAACATATAATGCTTTATAGTTCATTAGAACAAGTACAATCAACAGTAAAACAGTATTGTTATTCATATTCCTATCTGAATGAACTACTGATCTGCGTTACATAATGTTTGTTAATGAAGGTTGTAATAAAGCGTTTCCTGTAGAGATTCATTCTCATCACAACATGTGTTTCAGTGTTTTGTTGAAACGTGGGTGGATGTATTCATGTGCATTTGGCTCATTAAACGCCACACATCTGTCTGCACACAAACAAGGTCAAACTAATACACACATACATATAAATAATGAGCCCATTGAATATTTGCACACAACCAATGTCCATGAAACACATCCTGCACAGGTGGTGCCGATGACACAGAAACTGACGTGATGCATGCAAAAGAAAGCATTACAACTCACATCTAACATCTGTGGTGTTTGAGAAATATTAGATCATTTGTATGTACAATGCACATGATTTTACTAACCTCGGAGAGGGTTCTGGTTGAGCTTCCTTCCTGTGTAAGAAAACAAAATTATACTTTTGAATGCAATGATATGCAGTCCTTTTAACGAACTAAACTACCGTTTTTGAACTGCACCCTAATAATTATTCAAATGCATTACCTTAGCTTGAAATGGCACAATGCAATTCATTTTACATCACCTAAAGGAGAGGCCAGATTTGCTCTTGAGGTTTCTCAGCAGATCGAGCTGGTTCAGAGGAGGGATGAGTCTGGAAAAACACACAGAGACTGTTGGCACACGGATGATGTGTGAAGAGGAAATGCTGCGCAATGCTTATGCAAATCTGGAAGCTTCTTTAGACAGAAAAATCAACAAAAAACTAACAAGGTACTATTAATAAATACACCACTGACTGTGAGAGGGACAGAGAGAGAGAATGAACAGGAAAAAGACAGGCATTTGCATATATATGTATTTATTTATACATATATAATATATTTATTAGACTCACAACTACTATACTATTTCGTGCACAATAAAATGCATTTGTAAATAGGGAGAAAAGGACAGAAAGAGAAAGTATAAGCTGACTACAGAGAGATAAACTTGAAGTTTATAATGCACCAAATACTCTGGGAGGTTTGTTCAAATCACTAACAAATATCACTGTTTATTCTAACATGAAATACAGGCAATATGAATTATATAAATTATATTTGCCTATATTTTTTGGGGCTCAGAAAGATTTTTATGTTTTTGGAAGAAGATTGTTTTGCTGTGAATTTTTGGCTGAATTTCTTTGAACAAAATTACAATTAAAACAGCAAAATTGTGAAATATTATTACAATTTAAAATAGCTGTTTTCTATGTGAATATCTGTTAAACTGTAATTTATTCCTGTGATGCGCAGCTGAATTTTCAGCATCATTACTCCAGTCTTCAGTGTCACATGATCTTCAGAAATCATTCTAATATGCTGATTTGCTGCTCAAGAAACATTTCTGATTATCATCAATGTTGAAAACAGTTGTGCTGCACAATATTTTTGTGGAAACTGTGATACATTTTATATTTTTTTAAGATTCTTTGATGAATAGAATGTTCAAAAGAACAGCATGCATTTGAAACATGCATTATTTATAAATGTCTTTACTGTCACTTTTGATCAATTTAATGCAGCCTTGATTAATAAAAGTATAATTTCTTTCAAAAAAGATTTGAATCAAACTTTGTTTGCATGCAGTGCAATAGATGCTTCACGTTCATCAATAACAGTGGTTTGTTGTATTGCACAAAGCACATAAGCACATGATTCTAAAGCTTTTATGTTCATATACTCTATTTTATGACTCAAAAGCAGCATTAGCTGATGCAACGCATTACATATGACATGCAACATCACATGCATACCCTGCTGAACCGACATTTGAAATCAAAGCGTGATGCATGAATAAAACATGCCATAGGTATGAAGGGAGGGAGTGTGTGGACAGCAATGACCTTCACAATCTGCACAAAAACAGCCTCAAAGGTCAGTGAGCAGATCGATGCAGAGACATCTGAGGAGATCTCATCTGACACCCAGAGGAATGCTGGGATAGAGAGAGAAAGAGAGAGAGGCGGATGGGGGATGGAAATGCGTGCAGAAGTACATGTACCTGTACATGGGCACCGAAACGGTCCTTTCATAATAGTCCCATGTCGAATAGAGATCCGTACGATTCAGGTTTGTGGCGTAAAACCTCCAGGCATTCTGAGAGATGGCATTAAACAGAGTCACATTCAAATATAACATACATTATAGAAATAACTCACCTAAAAATTACAATTCATACAGGTTTGAAACAGCATGAGGGTGAGTAAATAATGACACGTGAGCTGTTCAGTATGAGATCAGATAGATTTTTGCTTTTGGAAGAAGATTTTATGTTTTTTGTTCACCAAGGCTGCTTTTATTTGATCAAAAATACAGTAAAAACAGTAAAATTGTTACAATTTAAAACAGCTGTTTTCTATGTGAATATATTGTAGAATGTAATTTATTTCTGTGATCAAAGCTGTATTTTCAGCATCATTACTCCAGTCTTCAGTGTCACATGATCCTGATTTGCTGCTCAAGAAACATTTCTGATTATAATTAGTGTTGAAAACAGTCGTGCTGCCCAATATTTTTGTTTGCATGTTTCTCATGATTCTGTGAGACTATCAGACCGTTTCAGAGCTCTCAGTTTCTCACTTATTCAGTGTTTTTTTGCAGCTAACCGGAGCCGATGACACTGAACGTATGTGGGACGTTGAGATGAGGCGTGTTGTACCTGAATTAAGCCGGCTGCTGGATTTCTGCGCTTCTCGAAATGTTTCTGCCGATGCTGTTCCTGAACTTTCAAGGCAAACCCAGAACCCAGAATTCCCTGCGGAGCGTGAAAAGAAACGTTGTTAATGATGACTGGAGCCGTGTCGTCTATTATACCGCACTATAATGGAGTGTCGCAACATTAAAGGGGTCATTTCTTCTGATAAAGTGCTCTTTTATTAGGTTCTTTCTTTCCCTGAGCTCTAGGTAGAATGTTTAGCAAGGTTTTTGCAGCAAAAACAGTCAAATCATCCCACCTTCTCTCTGAATATTTGTTGTTTGGGTGTGTATATGTTCATGTATTTGAGTTTCTGATGTGAAATATCCAAGGATTTCAGAGTTTTTCATCTTAGTTTCATTAGATGATCTTTTTGGACTGAGGAGGTTATCATTCAAACCCTAACACTTTCATATATATCATGCATTATAAGAGTATTTTTAATGCATTGATTATTCTTTGTAATGCACTGTATGATCTCATGAATAACTGTGATCAATTTTAAAATAATTTTCTATTAATTGTTACACGTTTAGAATATTTATTTCATTAAAATCCATTACAAACAACTCATTTCTATGAAACCCCATTTTTGCCTCAGAATAAAAAAGTTCATTGCAACTTTTTTCCTCCCAATTCTGAATTTGTATCTTGTGATTTTTTTCTCAGAACTGAATTGTAAAATTAAAAACTGTATTACCTTTTTTTATTATATTTTAAATGTATTTTATTTAGTATTAAATAAAATAAAAATATATTTTTATTTAATTTGTATTTTATTTAGAATTGTGAAATAAAAAGTTGCAATTACTTTTTAATTTTTTAATTTTATTTATTATTAAATATTTTATTGTGAAATGTAAACTCGGAATTGCAAGAAAAAAAGTCATAATTTTGAGTTTGAATTTTGAAGTCACAATTACCTTTTTTATTTTGTTATTCTGTTGCATAAATGGGCTTCGAAAAATTATAGATGTAACAAGACATACAGGCTAAAAAAGAGCGGTGCAAGAATTGAGCCTTGTGGGACTCCGCATTATGAATACCTTTATAATGCATTATGCAAATTTTTATACAATAATTCCGAAATGATGAATCATAATTCACAGATGTGTTTACATTAAAGCAGAACTGCTATGAAGAAAAACACATTAAGCAGCCAGTGGGATTGTTATATTCATAATAAACTGCAGTGATCTAATTCAGCGTCTGCTCTCTCCACTCTATTAAAAGCCTGTTTGACTCTATCTGTTCATTTCCTCTCGAATCCCCGGAGACTCACCGCAGGCAGAGCGAAGAACGACACGCCGATCAGGGTGAAGGTCGCGGCGAGGAGACGTCCGTTCCAGGTTATGGGATATTTATCACCGTAGCCAATGGTGGTCAGAGTGATCTGTGGGACATTGAGGAAAATGGCCGTGAAATCAGTTCAGATCCTGCACAGTAATTCAGTCACTGTCACTTGCTGCTGTCTGAGGTGCCTGAATACTAACTGTTTAAATGGGGAAGTCTTATGGTTTCTGGGTCACGTTTCACAGCAAATCCAAAAAAAATATAAAAATTGCATAGAGAAAAAAAAAACATTTTCAGACCAGTGGGTTTTAAGATTAGAAGTAAAAATTTATTAAGTATTTACATTTACATGCATGATAATTCCCATTAGATTCTCATCCTATATTCATATATAAATACTTGACAATTTAAATAATATATCATATATTCTTATTTTATTTTTCAGTTTGGGAGGAAATTTGTTATTATATATAAAATGAAAATATAATGAAAATAACGTCCCAATGTAAAAAATATCTTAAGGAATCTAAAATATATACATACACATATAGTATATGTATATATAAATGAATATATGATTATATTAAATATTATTACAAATATTATATTGTAATATATTATACATTTAATTTATTTGTGTGTGCATGTCTATATATATATACATACACACATAAAAAAAAAAAAAGTAATAATATAATAATATACAAATTTTCTTTTGATTTTGTTCAGTTGTCCCTTTTTTATCAAATATGTATATAAACACAAAATAAAAAAAAATAAAATAATATAATATAATATAATATTCTTTTGTTTGTTTTTATAATACGATTTACCCCAATATTAACATACAAAGTGACTGATTATTTAATCAGTCAGTCAAAATAATGCAACAAATAATATAATCTTTCTATGAAATCTCATTACAGATGATGATTTAAACAGAACCGCTCACACAAGAATCAAATCAGAAAATCAGTAAATATTAAAAACGGTCACTAAATTACGCAAGAGCACAAACTCCATCCACACATGATTCCTCTGTGATCTTTCTGAAATATCATCTCATCAAACTCGACGAGCGATAAACATCACTGCATAATTAATGATCCTCACAGAGTCCTGTGTGCAAACTTCAGCTGTGGCTCTATCTGATGTCCTTGAGTTTATTTCCAGAGGAATCAAGCCAGTGCTTTACCGGAGTCCCGAGAGGAGAATATACCCTGACTGCTGATGATTAACTCTATAATAAGAGAGCACTTACAGAATGTCAAGAAAACAAATGGTGTTTATCAGTCCATAAATGTGCTTCAATGAAGTAGCGAGTGAAACACATCTTCGAATGCAATCTGCTCATGATATAATATCGATCTCCGGCTGCATTATGAGAGACTGTGGACACCCTACATTTCTGCAAGCGTGTTTGTTAGTGCGAAGGGCTTACCAGACCCCACCAGAGCGCATCGGCGTAGGTCTCAAACATCTCGTTATCCTCCTTCTCAGCGAGATACACCAGGAACGAGGCCAGGATCAGACACAGGAAGCCAATGTACCAGGCAGTGATCAGTTCCTGTTAAACACACCATTAACAAATATCAATATCAAGTGTCATTCTCTGATGTTTGTTGCGTGTTTGTTTATAAGCCAACAACCCATGCATGATGATGATGATGCACTAAAGTGGCAATGCAGCTGCATAATATTAATTATGCTTAACTTTTGGTTTTGCAAATGCTACTTTTGATTATTTTACTATTAGCAAAATAGCAAAATAGTGTTATGCAGGGTTAAAACCATAAAAAAACTTTTTTTTTTGATACTTCAAATAAAATATACTTTAAATAAAAATAAAATAAATTATAAACTTATAAATATAAAAAACTTATAATAAAATAAAAAAATCATTTTATTTCAGCTAGTTGCCAAGGCAACACTTCTCATTTTCATTTAGTTTAACCTCATGTACTAAAATAACTAAAACTGAAATAAAAATCAATGAAAACTATAGAGACATATTAAAAAAAAAAAAAAAAGGAACAAACACACTACAGAATTACTAAAAATGTCCGTAAAATTGAAATGAAAATGCAAAATATAAAAATGGATTCAAAATATTAATGAAAATAACACTAAAATACACTGGTATGATGCAGGGTTATTATAGGTAAATAAAACTAAATCTGAAACCATTATTTATTACTTGAAATTAAATAAACTGAAATAAAATAAAATATAAAAAAACTAAACACATTTTATTTCAGCTAGTTGCCAAGGCAACATTTCTCATTTTCATTTAGTTTAACTTGATGTACTAAAATAACTAAAACTAAAATAGAATTGAATGAAAACAATATAGACATAAAAAAGACTAATAAAATGACAAAAACACACAACAAAACTTAAAATAAAACTTAAATTAAAATTAAAATCAAAAGAGTAAATATGAAAATAATTCAAAATATCAATAGAAACTATAATAGTATCTCAATGAAACTAAAATAGACCTCCTGTGATGAGAACCAGTGTTATTTTAGTATCATTTATAAACTGTTAATACTTTAATTTAGCTTTTATGTTTATAACTTTCATTTTAATTTTATTTACATTTTTTTGTCATTTTGTTATGTGCTTTTGTCTTTTTTAGTAGGTTTCTTTTTTAAGTTTAATTTATTTTTATTTCAGTTTTAGTTATTTATTTATTTCTTTTATTAACAGTTAGTAATTTTAGTGCTTCAACTTCAGACAAAAATTAGACACGTTGCCTTGGAAGCTAACTGAAATAGGTTTTTCATCTAATATTTACATATATATTTTTTCTTTCAGCTTCATTTCAATTAACAAAAATGTTTTAATAGTTTAGTAGTTTTAGTTGCTGATGTGAACACTTGCTATCATAATCTCAACACTAGCAAACTCCTGAAAAAATCCAAAGAAAAACAACTTCAGAGTTTTTGCTCTGTCAGCAGTGTGTTTCTTTGCTCCTGCAAATGCAGCTTCCTCTGGATGCTAAGAAACGGGACACCGCTCAAACACAGACGCTGGAACGTTTTATGCGACTCATTTTAGACTGAAAAATGCACCGTCAGCGCATCACCCACTTTCTTGCCAGAGAGAGAGAGAGAGAGAGAGAGAGAGAGAGAGAGAGAAAATTGAAAAAATCTAATACCCTAAAATGACAAAAATTGGTTTGATCAAGACTGCCAAACTATTCGCAAAAAACTGAGAACATTGTCGAATCAGAAACACAAAGATCCAAATAATGCAGAGACCCGCTTTCTTTACAGTGAAACACTAAAACAATACAAACATACACTCAGAACCAAAAAGGCATAATACACCCAAAAACAACTGACAATAATTGAGAAGTAGTCTGTGAACAGGTGAAGAGAGGAATTAGCAAACAGTTTGGAGTTGGCATGATTTTTGAACAAAGTCTCTTCTGCTCACCAATGCTGCATTAAAAAAAAGTGGAAAATACAGTAAAAACAGCAATATTCTGAAATATTATTACAATTTCAAACAGCTGTTTTCTATGTGAATATATTGTAAACTGTAATTTATTGCTCTGAATTTTCAGCATCATTACTCCAGTCTTCAGTGTCACATGATCTTCAGAAATCATTCTAATATGCTGATTTGCTGCTCAAGACACATTTCTGATTATTATCAATGCTGAAAACATGTTTTTGTGGAAACTGTGATACATTTTAATTTTCAGGATTCACAGATGAATAGTAAGTTGAAAAGAACAGCATTTATTGGAAATCTTTTGTAACATTATAAATGCATTTACTGTCACTTTTGATCAATTTAGTGTATCCATTCTGAATAAAAGTATCAATAAAAACCCTCCAAAAAGTATGATAGCTTACGTTTATTTTGTTTGAGAATTTCATATCATCAAGTCTTCATTTTTCTCACGACACAACATAACCTGTTTTCCTCTTTCGTTTAATATACTGGGCGTTAATTATTAATCAGACTAATTCTGCTATTTCACAGACGGCTATCCTTTCCTCACGCATGCAACTCCGTTAAAACTCATTTATATTTCAGCATGTTTACTGTGAACATGCAATTTGTATAATGCATCTGTTTGTTAGAGAAAATGTGTTTTCATCACTAGGACAACAGACGATGTATGAAACTGCTGAGGAATCACGCAAGATGGAGCCGAGCTAAAAATAGATTCTCTCTGCAACTACCACTGAGGAACATCAGTGCATGAGACGCAAGCAAACTATTTCTAGAAATGGTCGTATTTTATGTGCATTAAGTGCAGTTTGAGCTCCCAAATGCACTGAGTTCTGTGAAGAAAAGTGTCACCCTCATCATTGCCCCAGTGAACAGGGAATGTTCTCAGAACGTTCTGGCAAGGTTCTCTCAAAGTTATGAATAAAGGTTTTTGCAATAATGTTAACAGAACGTTTGTTCAAGGTTTTCTGTGACCGGCTGCTTAAAATGCTTTGACTCTTACAAGCAAGTCATCAGTTGTTTTCTCTAAAAATGGATGTCTTAACTTTTTAAAGTCAGTTACATAAAAACATAGACTGGTCTAATTTGAATCCGAAAAGTAAGGCTCATTACACCTTGAATAGCATATGGACTGCGTTTATGCAGCTGGCCACCCTGGTCTTTAATAATGTTCTCAAAACGTTAGCACAAAAACATTTTAATTGCATTTTTGAAAAGTTACTACTTACTACTCATTTCAGAACATTCAGAGAACATTCAAAAGTAACATTCAAAAGTAACATTCCATTGTTTGAAAAATGATAAAATGTAACCTAAAATGTTCCCTTAATGTTTTCGGTAACACTTTACAATAAGGTTCCATTAGTTAATGTTAATGTATTAACTAACATGATCAAACAATGAACAATAAATGTATTAATCTTTGTTAATGTTAGTTAATAAAAATACAGTCGTTCATTGTTAGTTCATGTTAGTTCACAGTGCATTAACTAATGTTAACAAACACGACTTTTGATTTTAATAATGCATTAGTAAATGTTGAAATTAACATGAACTAAGATGAATAAATGCTGTAGAAGTGTTGTTCATTCTTAGTTCAGGTTGACTAAAGTAATTAACTAATGTTAACTAATGAGTGTTACCATGGTTTTCTGTAACATTCACATAACCAAGAAAAAATATTTTTTAAACATTAAAAAAAATAAAAAAAACTGGACACTGTAAACGTTCAGAGAACATTCAGAAACGGGAACATTAGCAAAAGGTTCTTAGGACATATTTTTGTTCAAACACGTTCAACTTTGCCTATGTTTACTAACTTTTCAAAGCACAGCCAATGATTTCAACGCAGTTTGCATTAAATGTAAAATTCTGCCTGTCTTGTTCCTTGCATTTACAGTACGAGTTTATGTCTTGCCAAGTCCTATCGATCGCAAACCTCCAGCTCACACTTCATCAGGACGTCTCATTAAGCATCGCCCCCACTTTGGCCTTTTCCTCCTCTCCCCAAAACAGCCACACCGAGCCAAAAAGACGCCACCAGATCCGTTCCTGACCTCTCAAACCCTCTTCAACAACGAGCTTGACAAACAACACTTGACAGAACAACTCCTGTGGTTTAAATTTTCAAAATCTGTACAGCAAAAAGCCTCATGGAACAACCAGAATAACAATAAACCTCTCAAAATCATATTTGGTCTATGTGCAATATTTCAACTTTGCAGTTTGGAAATTGAGTTTGTCTACTGTTGATTCATGCTTCAGCTGCATTGTTTGAGGGCATCAGACGACTTCAAAATGTGTTTTAAAATAACACGAAATGATATCTGCAACTGAAAAACGTCCATAATATGACATATTTTTGCATGATACAGGATATTGAAGCAGAAAAAGAAAGTGATGCTTTCTTACATTTTGAATTTAGATGAATTTGGAACAACGTGCATTGACGAATCGTTCACAATAAGACCAGGAACATGAATTAAAGAACGTTAACATTGATTTCATGTTGACTTTGTCAACGTTGTATGTTAATGTTTATGTTATGTTAACGTTTGCATGGATATGCACTGATGTTACCTGACATTAAATGCATTTACTTCTAACAATTTGTGCAAAATAAGACCAGATGCATACTGTAAATCGGGTTGATTTGATGAGTGTAATGGATTGCTTTATCTAAAGCCAATAGACCTTTATTGCCATATATCTCTTCTGAAAGCCCCGTGGTGAAGATCTCAAACAGAAAGCATTGCAACAAGGAGAATGACTGCCGGAATGTGAGATGAGATTGGAAGTGTTTCTGGTTACTGAACAGTTTCTGGTCTTCGCTTACCTTGCTGTGAGCGTAGACCACAGATCCCAAGAGCTTCCAGGTTCCCCCGCGCCGATCCATGCGGATCATCCGGAGGATCTGGAGGAACCGGAGACTCCTGATGGCGGAGGTGGCGAACACATTCCCCTGCGTTCCAGCGGCCAAAACCGAGATCGAGGCGATCAGCACCATGATGTCTGAGGAATTAAAAAAGGAATATAAACTGATAAATACACAATCATATAAAATATTAATGTGACAGAAAAGTGACTTTGTGCATTCAGGCATGCATTTTATCTCCATATAAGTAAAGGTCAGTAAAAATGTTTTTGAAATACGTCTCTTCTGCTCACCAAGGCCGCATTTATTTGATCAAAAATAGAGTAAAATTGTGAAATATTATTACAATTTCAAACAGCTGTTTTCTATGTGAACAGATGTTAAACAGTAATTTATTTCTCTGAATTTTCATCATCATTACTCCAGTCTTCAGTGTCACGTGATCCTTCAGAAATCATTCTAAAGCGACGTTAATTGGAAATAGAAATCTTTTGTAACATTATAAATGTCTTTACTGGCACTTTTGATCAATTTAATGTGTCCTTGATGAATAAAAGGATGCATTAAAAAAATACAAAAATACAAAATTTGAACAATACTCTATATGTTCCCTGGGAATCAAACCTATAACCTCGGTTTTGCTGCATGGCATTGCTCATGTTGAAACATAATTTAGACATGATCTTTTTCCATTCAATTACAGTGAATACAAGCTGTGCTTATATGACTAGAAAACACTGAAAGGATAAGGATTTGTGGTGTAGGATTTACTGTTAAACTATTTTCACTGATAATAAATTTTGCAAATAAATACAAAGAAACATGAAATGCATGAACTTTTGAAGTATAAAGACTAAAATAGTATGTTCTTGCAAATGTACTCTTCATTTACAAGTTGAAAAATATTTTTCAGTGTAGCTTGGCAGTACTCACCGATAACACAGAAAGGTTTCCGGGCGAATTTTAACCTTCCCCTCCATCCTCTGTATCGACAGCAACATCCTGCAGACCAGATCCTCACGATGTACTCCACTCCGAAAACCACAATGGTTACAATTTCCTACAAACACACAGACAGACGTCATGTTAGCATGTGATCAATGCACACGTGTTAAATCAATACCTCTGTGATATTACATACCAGGATGTAGAGGGCGTCTTCTGAGCTCTTCTCATATTCTCTGATGGTGGAGAACACAGACAGAACCAGACAGGAGAAAACCAGCAGGAAGCTGAAATGACAAGAGAAAAAGCAGTTTACCTGATGTGCATTGCATTTGCATGTGATTTGTGCAAAATAAAACCAGATGCATGCATTAACGCAGTAAATTTGATCAGCATAATGAATTGCTTTATCTAAAGCTGATCATGTTGCACCTTTTAAGATTTTCCTAATGAACTGTCCAGCAAATAGAGACAAAAAGCGAGTGTTTATTTGTAATCTGTCCTTCAGATGCCACATTAAAGTGGGTAATTGCATTGCTGACACTGTTTTTCTCACCATCTCTCTGTCAGCGTGAGCTCTGCTGCGGCTCCTCAACAAACTCAATAAGAATCCTGCAGGAAGCTAACAGCGCTCAGACGCGGGGCATATCAGGCTTGACACACGCTAGCCCTCCGTGTGACCACATTACACAAACTATTTATTGACTCAAACATTATAATTCTCATAACACACCGACCCTGGGCAGTAAATTGTACCGAGTCATGTGTTTTTATATTATCATCTCTGCAGAAACATAACAGCTAATCTAAACTGACAGCTAAACTTTAGAGAAATAGAAAGGCAAAACTAGAATGCAAAATCTATAATAAACATCATGTAACTATTAGAGTTAATGCAATTTCATTAGAAAGCTCAAAGCACTTCATAGTGCAAAATATAAATGATACTGCTGTATGTACAGGCGAATAAAGAGAGAAATTGAGCGGTTATTTATTATTATTTTTTTTTTACAAAAATATTATATTAAATGTACAATAGTAATATAATTTAAATATATTAAATACATTATAAAATATATTAAATATAAATATATTGCATAAATAATACTAATATAATTAATAATACAGATATATAATTATATATGTGTATATGTTCATTTATGTATATTGTAATGTAATAATATTAATATAATGATAACATGTGCATATATATATATAAGTAATTTATATATTTCGATTTCATGCTCCTCAGTATGTATGCAAGGTTTTGTGTAATAAATAAATAAATGTGAACATTAAATTTAAATTTATTTACATTTATGTATTCATTTAATGGTATTTTTGCTAAGCAATAACAGTGCATATTTTTGTACATGAATATGCAATAAATAAACAAATAACACACATTTATTATTTATAATGTAATAAAAAAAAGAAAAAAGAAATATGCATAATTTTACTTCTATGCATTATTTTCATGCATTCATTTATAAGTATTTTGATAATCTTTGGTCAGAAAATCTTTCTCTAGTACAGACGCTTCCCTTCTTCTTCACTTTATTTGAACATCATGATAACAGAAGAATCTCATTTTCTCTGCGAGGTCATGTTAGAGGTTCATGGAAAGGTAAAAACAGGTTTAGTAGCGGTGATTGATAGAGATGACACTGTACTGATAAATGACACTTGATTTCTCTGTTTTCACAGCAACATAATTTCAGGAGAAAGAGTCTGTCGACAGTCCCGGTGCAGTAATGCTTCCCAGCGGGCATGTAAACTGTAATTGGACTTAACGTACGAGCAGACGCAATATAATGCTCCACTGGCCAAGTATGCAAAGCTACAGCGCGACGACTCTACAGCACTTAAAAGGAGTTTTCTGACTCTTTAGCTCTATTTTTACACTCCCAAATATCTTAGTCAGCACTTTCTCCTAATGAATATCAATCAAGGGGGAACTTGAGCTTAGACTGTTCTGTGTTTAACAAGGATTAATTAGCTGGTGATTAGATGAAAAGAACAAGCAAAAGCAAGCACTAACACACTCACTCAGATACAGAGGAACAGCCAATCAGAGCGTTTGTTTTGGAATTTAAATCTTTTTCTCTGTTTTTGTTGCCAGGCAAACTTTTCAATTTAGGAATCATATCAAAGGTGTTTGTCCAAGACAATATTTAGATGTTATATGTGCATGAGCTAAATAATTTAACACCAATTTTGTTAACTAGAATCAGGGTTATTGTTAACTAAAACTAAAACCATGAAAATAAAATTATTTCAGCTAGTTGCCAAGGCAACATTTCTCATATTAGTTTAATTTGAAGTACTAAAATAACTAAAACTAAATAAACCAAAAATTATATATACAAATTAATAAAACATATATATAGACATATTTAAAAAAATAAAAATAAAAACACAAAAATTACTAAAGCTTTAACTAAAATCAAAGAAAATAAAAAAATAAAATAGCACTAACTAGATAACCAGAACATCACAGAGACAGAAACCACTTAGAGCCATACAGAACTTCTTAGCAATGACCTAGCAACCACCCAGATCACCTTAGCAACCAGCAACCAAAGCCCTGGTAACCACTATCATATATTTTCTTCAAAAAATGTAAACCTCTAGTTATTAATAACTCAACTTCATGTCATGCCTGACACATTACACATGGTAAAATCAATGTAAAACACGGCCTGTCTGTCAGGGCTTTTTGCTTTATTGTTATTATGTGGGAGAACATTAATTTAAACTTTGACTTTTGCTCAGAAGAAGATTGAAGATCTTTAATGGGGTCATTTTCTCAGAAGTCTCCATTTTATGGAAATAGAATTGTTGCATAATTCCAAATAAATAAATTAGGATGCGACTCACAAATGAATGCCAGGCAAAGTTGTGTTTGTGACATAAAAAGATATTTGTGAATATGTTTATTATTTGCAAATCTCACTTTATTTATTTGTGAATTTAATTCATGTTTGTGAAACTCTAAGATTTATTTGTGGATCTCATTCTATTTATTTGTCAATATGTTTGCTTTTTGTTAGCCTCTCTACATTTATCTGTGGATCATAATCTATTTATTTAGAATTATGCAACAATTCTATCTCCATACCATTTGCTCTATGTTTAATCTTAGCGATTTTTCTAGAAGAAACAGTCAATGTGATTTGTCATTTTGGAAACAATTAACAAGGTCTCATTTGTTAACATTAATGCATTTGCTAACATAAACTAACAATGTTAGTTAATTAAAATGCAATTGTTCATTGTTTATTCATGTTAGCTCAAAGTGCATTACAGTCAACCGATACTACATTGATTTTAAAAATGTAAATTAATAAATGTTGAAATTAACTTGCTTAATTAACTAACAATGAACATCCTTATTGTAAAGTACTATGATTTTTCTGTCAAATGCATGATCATGAGATTGTATTATTTGATGCTTTCACAGGTGTATTTTGAATTTTGCATTGCATTTTGTTGTTTTTAGAGTTAACGAAAACTTTATAATATTCTGCCAGGACATTATCTGTTTTTCTATCCGATTTTTGTTAATAAAATGCACAGTTAGTGATTAAAAAGCAACAAAAAAACTCTCTTCTATCACGAATCCCTCCTTCACTCTTCAGTTTCTGTTGTCTTTGCATCACACACACCGTTACACTGCATGCACAAAACATTTGATTTCAAAGCTGGCCTGCTGTCGTACGACTCGTGTTACTGAATCCAGTCTGTCCAGCAGTCGCATCTCTCCGGTCCTGCAAACAGCCTCTGTCCAGTGGATTGGATGACAAGACTACAGCTCTGATTATAGGTTATCGACTCTGAACAAAACACCCACGTCAATATGGAGAAGAGCCGTCTCTCTCCTCCTGCTGAGAACACGAGGACACCAATCTTTCCCCATACGGGACACAAGTAGTTTTCCAGTGGGACGAAACAGGCCTCCAGGTTCAGGATCATTACGTTTAATGTGTGAGAGAAATCTTGCATTAACAAAAAAACATGAATTTGCATGGGTGGTTTTTGTGCTGTTAGAGCCAGTCTAGCTGGCTAGATTTGGTCAGCATGATCTTTCTGATTTACCTGGTTAAGACTAGTAATCCATCATCCAACACACAACATATGATGTGACAGTAATACTAGACAAACTATTAATTGTATCATTATAGTTTATATTGTCAAGGTTTATGTGTAAACTAGCTGTTACATAGATGTATTCTGTTTTAGTTATTTCAACCCATCAGATCATACACACTGCAAAAAAAAATCATATATTCTTAATTACTAATTTCCAGTTAAAATATTAAACAAAAAAATTGTAAAACAAGATGAATTAGACATTATGAGTTTTAAGTTACCCAGCGACAGTCTGAAGCATCACCAAGTACAAGACACCACCCGTGCAGTCTGTGGAGAATCAACAACTGGCTGATGATCTGAATGTGTTTTACTGCTGGTTTGAAAAGCTCAGTCTCACACCCCACAGCCGCTCTGATCTGCACTTCTCTTACCAAAAAGAAGTATACTTCAAGTTTATTTTATTAAGTATACTTCAGTAAAGTTCAAGTATATTTTTAAGTATACTTTATGTAGTAAGTATACAAATATCAGTGTACTAGTAGTATACTTGTAAGTATACTTGTAAGTGGTATTAGGCCACGACTGGGAAGTCGTGGCCTAATGGTTACAGAGTCAGACTCGTAACCCAAAGGTTGCGGGTTAGAGTCTCGTACCGGCAGGGATTGTAGGTGGGGGGAGTGAATGCACAGCTCTCTCCCACCTTCAATACCACGACTGAGGTGCCCTTGAGCAAGGCACCGAACCCCCAACTGCTCCCCGGGCGCCGCAGCATAAATGGCTGCCCACT